ACATTCATGATAATCCAATGGATGTTGGCAATTTGATCTCTGGTTCCTCTGCCTTTTCTAAATTCAGCTTGAACATCTGGAAGTTCATAGTTCACATATTTTTGAAGCCTGGCTTGGAGAATTTTGAGCATTACTTTGCTAGCATGTAAGATGAGTGCAATTGTGTGGTAGTTTGAGCATTCTTTGGCATTGCCTTTCTTTGGGATTGGAATGAAAACTGACCTTTTCCAGCCCTGTGGCCACTGCTGAGTTTTCCAAATTTGCTGGCATATTGAGTGAAGCCCTTTCACAGCATCATCTTTTAGGATTGCAAGCAGCTGTACAAGACTGAAGCAACTGAGCACAACTGAGCACATAAATGACATCTAACACTATATTAGTTTCAGGTGTAAAACATGGTGATTCTATACTTGTATATATGGCAAAGTGATCACCATGATAAATCTAGTTCACATTCATACACTATTCTATGGTTTCAAAAACACTTGTGAATAGATGATAAAGCTGGAAAAGCAGAATCCCCATCATATGAGACCCTTCAGAGAAAGGGCTTATGGAAAGGGTGGACTGCCGGGTCAATAGGAGCTCAGAGAAGGCAAAGGCCAGTTAGCCCAAAATAGTCAGAGGAAGCCTCATGGAAGTAAAAAGACCCTGACCTAGGCCTCACAGGGTTGGCAGGACCTAGACGGAGGGTGGGAAGGAAAGAGACCAGTCTGACTGTATCCTGACCCCATGGCTTTACTGTTACCCTGGCCTGTTTTAAGCTTCCTTGCTGGGTCAGGTTCATTGCTCATAAATACTCTTTCTGGGTATTTATGTCTATTGACAGTCGCTATTGTCTGAAAGCAGGTTCAGTGAAAGCACTTTTTCACAAGCTCTGCACTACCCCCAAGGACTTTCTCACTTATTTCCAGGTTATAGAATCTGAATTGGTCAACCTTTCTAGATAGTTCTTGAAAGTGAAAGTGTTAGTTGCTCGGTCGTGTCCAACTCTTTGTGATCCCATGAACAGTAGTCTACCAGGCTCTTCTGTCCATGGAATTCTCCAGGCAAGAATACTGAAATGTGTAGTCATTTCATTCTCCAGGGAACCTTCCAAGCCCAAGAATCAACCCAGGTCTCAAGCACTGCAGACAGATTCTTTATGGTCTGAGCCTCCAGGGAAGCCCTTAGGCAATTGCTAAGTACTTAAATATGCATTCCCTTTGAGCCTGTAAATCCATTCTTGGGTATTCACCCTAGAGTGAACCCACAGGGGATAGGGCTCACTCTCAAGAAGATAGACCTGAAGAAGAGGCATAAGCAAGTCTTGCATTTCCGCTCCAGGTCCTTTGGGCAGGATACTCTAGGGTCCTAGGTATCTAGAACATAGTCTAGAAGGATAGAAGTGAAGGTTCCAGGTTGGTATATCTTCTTGCTTATTGGCTCTTCGCTACCTGGGGAAGACAGCATCCAGAAGACCAAACTGATTACTTCCTGGCAAATATCACCACCAAGACTCTGGAGTCAAACATGATTTTTTTTTTTCATTTTGAATTCTTTTCCCCAAATTAAATCCTAATATAATTATTTTTAAAAATATAAATATAATAATAGTTTGTACTTCTAAAGCACTTATCATATGCCAGGCACTATTCTCAGGACTGTACACATACTAACTCATTTAACTAAAGTAATCCTGTCTTTGCTTTTTCCAACTATAAAAAGACATGAATTTGTTAAAAAACAAAACAAAACCACAGACCCCAAACTTCATCTCTTGTGCTAAAGCCAATGATACCAAACCTAGACTTAATATCTCACCTAATTGCAGTTTCATCCTCTTCCCAGAAATGTAATCTTAAATCAACCAGCCTGGAATTTTCTGGTCAAGCAACAGTAAGGTAATGTCACATATGCCTTCTCCATCCCCCTAAAAAAGAAGTAATCTGCTTCATAAAACCTTCGCTGCTCCCTTCCTCTGCTCATGCCAGACTCTATGCAAATCCATGGACTGTAACCCACCAGGGTCCTCTGTCCATGGGATTTTCTAGGCAAGAATACTATAGTGGGTTGTCATTTCCAAATGAGGGATCGAACCCACCTCTCTTGCATCTCCTGCATTGGCAGGAAGATTCTTTTTTATTATTGAAGGATAATTGTTGGTCCTTTAATGGACCAGAACCTGGTGGTCCGGAGTTGACGATAAGAAAGTAAGAGAGAAAGAGGCTGATATCCCCTGATTTATGCGGAAAGCCCTATTCTGAGGGCTCACACTGCTGCACGTAGGCACCGGGCGCCCTCTCGAGTGGGTGGAGGTGCAGTGCGCCTTCTCGAGAGGGTCTTAGAAGCCCGGGCAAATAAGTGAGCTCAGCGGGCCTCCGCCCTCCAAGGAAATAGCCTGAAAGAGAGAGAGAAGGAAAAAAAGAAAGAATAGAAAGAAAGACACGGGGACCCAAGCTCTGATGGAGCAAAGGTGTTTTAATCAACATGGTGTGTACATATTTACTGTCTTACAAGGTGGTTATTCTCAGCAAAGATAAAGATTAAAATTCCAGACTTAGAAAACACAAGACGATCCCTATCAAAGAGAGAGTTGCAAACAATCACCTTTTACCGTATGACTCATAAAAAGGAAGAGGGTACTTATTACCGTAATGAGAAATGCCTGGCTTCCTCAGCCCCGGGAAAGGCGTGCCTCTCCTCTTAATTCCTGAATAAGAGGAATTAATTCCTTATTAATAAGGAATTAATAAGGGCCAGAGGGTTCCTGACAGATCCAAAACAGCACACAGGAAGCCTCTTGTTGAATGCTTCCTGACAGATAATTGCTGTACAGAATTTTGTTATTTTTCTGTCAAACCTCAACACGAATCAGCCTAGGGTATGCATATGTCCCCTCCCTCTTGAAGCTCCCTCCCATCTCCCTCCCCATCCCATCTCTTTAGGTTGATACAGAGCCCATTTGAGTTTCCTGAACCATACAGCAAATTCACATTTGCTACCTATTTTACGTATGGTAATGTAAGTTTCCATGTTACTCCTTCCATACAGCTCACCCTCTCCTCCCCTCTCCCCATGTCCATAAGTCTATTCTCTATGTCTGTTTCTCCATTGCTGCCCTATAAATAAATTCTTTAGTACCATTTTTCTAGATTCCATATATATAGCAGGCAGATTCTTGACCACTGGGCCACCTGGGAAGCTCATCCCTTCCTCTCCCCTCCCAAAAAATTATCCTTATCTAAAAATAATCCTTTTATTTATTTATTTAAAAATTTATCTTTACTTTTTTAACACCAAAACCTTTTAGCAATATTTTTAATGTAGTTTTTCACTTTACTTAATACTGCTCTATATTTTTAAAAAGTAACTGGAAAAACAAAATTCAGCTGAATAAGTGTGAGGAACTAATTGGCTTTATACAACAATTCATGAATAGGGCAGCAACCCATCTAGCAGCTACCAGGGCACTGTCAGGGGTTGTATAAAATGGAAGGTGTCTATAGGCTGGCAAGTAGGGCAAGGGAGCTATTAGCATAATAAAAGAAAGGACTTGGGGCTATACCCCAACAGAAAAGTATTAAGACTAAAGTTTAAAACGACATTAAAAATAATACTTCTGTCCCAGGCCTCCCCCGCTCAGCTTTTTTTTTTTTTTTTTCAAGAAACAACCCACTGCCAATCCAAGCCTATTCCACAACAGCCAAGGACCAGATTGCAGCTGAAATGGAGACTGGGGCAGGGACAATGGATGTAGGTTAGTGTTCTTAATCCTGGGAGCAGAAGGCAAGAAAAAGAATTCTTGGAAAAGTAGAAAAGTTTAGTAGCTCCAGAAAAAAATGCAGCCCCTCCCTAGTAATCAGAGAAAGGCAAATAACATTTTCCCCCTCTGGGATAGGCAAAAAAGATGGACAGGGCCAAATGTACAAGCAGGGAGGGAGCAGAGGACTGGCCCACATCTGCCCCGCTTTTGGTGGGAGTGGAAATTGAGGGCCAGAGATCACTGGTGACGTAGACCTCATGTGACCACGAGTCGACGTGTGCAGAAGTCCTGCTAGTCTGGTCCTTGTTCCCGTCTGGGTACCAGCTTCCTTCAGCAGCGGTAGCCGGTGGGGAAGGAGAAGGAGTCTACTGGCTGAAATTTTTCAGGTTGGTGGCAAAATAGATGCTGCCTGGGGATTTCTAGGGTGGGGATGGCCTAGAAGCAGAGATTTAAGAAAGCCCTGGAAAAGTCCATCTCTCCACCTCCCACCTCCAGGTCTGCAGGAAATGATGACCCGTGGGAAAGGGACTAGGGGTCCCCGGAGAAGGACAAGGAGACCTGTGATAGTTTAAAAATAATCATCCTCTGCCACCTAAGACCACTTTCCCAACACCTCCCCTCCTCCCACCCCCAACTCCCATTTTTAACGATAGTTTGGAAATCTGCTTTTCCGACTCCCTGTCTGATGGAAAATTCGAGCTAACTGGCACTATGGAGAGGGAGAGAAATGAGGGAAACAGAGGATGGGAAAGTTTCCATAACCGAGAACCTTAACAGGAAACGTGCGCGGTGTTGATCTGTCCGCGGAGCGCTCGCCCCACCCCCACTCTTATCCCCTCCCCCTCCCGTTTCCCGTTGGTCTGCAGGTCTGCTGCTCTAAAAAGGCCAGGAAGAAAAGTGATCCGATGAGAAGATGAGGGAAATATTATGAAGACCCCTGGGGTGGAGGTGGGCAAAGGAGGGACTGAGGTCGCGGGCGCCTCTGTTCTTCCCCCACACCCCTCTTCTCCCAGCTTACTGTGTTCTAGGAAGGTCTTGCGTTCTGCCTTGTGTGAAAGAAATGGTTGAGAAGAACCTTGGAAAAGGCTGGAGGGAGGGACAAGGGAGGTGAGGAGGTAGAAAATGGAGGTGAGAATGGCAGGCTCAGGGAAATCCTGATGGCTGACGTATCCTTTTTGCTTCCTAGAAGTGGTTGTTTTCAAAGAAGAATAAGTAGAAGAAAAGAAAGGAAGAGGGAAAGAAAAGGAGACACAAGATGAAACCCTGTCAAAAAATTGAAGAAAAACCAGAAAATGAGAATGAACCAAAACTTGAAGAAGTACCAAAGCCTGAGGAAAAGCAAGAGGAGGAGGAAAAAACAGAAGAAACTTTTAGAGAAAGACTGATTCAGTCTCTCCAGGAATTTAAAGAAGATATACACAACAGGCATTTAAGCAAGGAAGATATGTTTAGAAATGTGAATGAAATTGATGAGATAAGGAGAGTCAGAAACAAACTTACAGTGATACGTTGGAAGGTTAATCGAAACCATCCTTACCCCTATTTAATGTAGTTTACCTTGATTTCTATTTTTTCTGATGTTGACATTACTTTCTTTTTTGTTGTCCTGTATATCTCTGTCCATCTGTCTGCTTTTAACTTGTTGCTATTAGTGGTTTTAGATGCATCTCATTGTTTATTTCAAACCAGTCTACAAGTCTTTGCCTTTTAATAGGAGAGCTTTACTCATTTGTACAAAAAGAGATTCCTGACAGGATATAAAATGTAAAAAAGTTACTAAGTAATATGTGAATATCAAATTTTTGAAAGGGAAAGGTACATTTGTATATTCCATATATACACAGAAGAATATGTGAAGGATGAAAGACAAAAAATATAGTCAGTGGTAGGATTATGAGTGATTTTTTAAATTCAGCTTATTTGTATTTTTCTTTATGCCTAGAATGTACACACGTTATTGTTAAAAATAATAAAAGTTTTATAACAAAAAAAGGAGTAACCAACAGTAGTTAGTATATTTCTAAAGGCATTGAGACATAATATTTATTAGCAGAATTTTAGAAGTAAATGTGAACTCCAAATTACCACCAGACCTCTTAGCTAGAAAAATAAATTTTATATCTTTTCTCATTTGCAGTATAGAGATAATAATGATCTTTCTGGGATCTCATGAGGACCAAATAAGGTACTAACTGTGAGCTATATTTGACAAGCTATTATTCCCATATGCCCATGTAGGATGCCAAATCCTAAGAGATTTGTTTTAGGTATTTTGGAGGGAGAAGATTAGTCCTCACCTGTGCTGAAGAAAATATCCAGACAGCTGTTAGTTGGGTACCACCTTTGTTTTTCTCTCCTCCTGTGCCTGCCCAACCTTCTATGCCCCTCCCCTTGATACTACCACATGTACTGGATATTTCTGCCCCTTCATTCAGATTCTGTACCTCTCAGCCCCCTAACACTGCTAATGTGCTAGAAATCTCAAATAGTGAAGCCCAACATATTTCTTTGGAACCCGCTTGATTCTCCAGTCTGAGCTCTACAGAAGTGGGGAAAATGCCCATCTCTTCAGTTTAGATAGATGTTTATGCAGGGCCACTTAGGCTGTGATATCTTACTGATACCTTGGCAACTTAGGGATTTTAATCAAAGAAGCCCTCTTCCCTATAAGACTCAGACACAATGGGTCTGTTTAGGGGTGGGACCAGAAAATAAGTCTGAATAAGAGACATTATGCTTTAGTCAGGGTTGCTTCTGAGTCTAAAGATTGGTTTATCTTCCTGAGTTTCATTTCCTTAGGGTGAGTGATCTCTCCCAAAAAACTGGTGGCAGGCCTCCTCACCAACTCAAAAGATACCCTTAGACTTGTGTAAGTTTTAAAGGGAGGCTCAAGTCAGATTTTGCTATATTCCCATTCTTTATTGGAAATGTATGAAAGTGCTGGGTAAGATTTACTGTGTATTTATATCTGCATCCAGATTTTCATAACTATATGTGTATCTGTGGATCACAGTTGTACCAGCAGTGTATTATTTTTCCTCTGTGATGCTCATTTTGGGGGCAGTTAATCACTTCAGACCATTCTTCAAGGTTACAGCAGCTTGATGGATGAAGGTGAAGGTCCAGGAACTCACTTGCCAGCATTATAAGACTGGTTGAATCCAGCCCCTTGGCACTGAGGAGTGGCACTGTGGCAGGACATGGAAGGACTCCCTCAAGGCACACCCCTCTCCAAGATGATCTGACATTGGTTTCTCTGCTCCAGCCTGCAGCAGGCACCAACTCTCCAGGCTGTCCTGGACATGCATACCTGAAGGACAACTGTCCCATTGCAGGTCAGAGCACTAGACTTCCTTTATTCCTTTTTTTTCCCTCACAAAAGGGCTTGATGGGAACTTTTTAAAGGAAAAATTTAAAATTTCAAAAGTCATTAACTAAAAACATTGGTTGTGATAGTCTTTGTCCCAGCAATGACTACTCTGGAGGTAATCAGATAACTTGGGATTAAGGTAGAAGGGCCTATTGGAGATGATTTCAGATAATAACACTATATATATATATATATATATATTGAAACTATATGATAGTTTCTTATGATCCTTTGTATTTCTGTGTTGTCTGTTGTGATCTCTCCATTTTCATTTCTAATTTTGTTGATTTGATTTTTCTCCCTTTGTTTCTTGGTGAGTCTGGCTGTAAGAGTTTTTATATACTCTAAATATAAATCCAATGGATACATGATTTGTACATATTTTTTCCCATTCTGTGGGTTATCTTTTTACTTTCCTGATGGTATACTTTTAGAAAATTATTTATTTTATGTATTTAGTTTTGGCTGAGCTGGGTCTTTGTTGCTTTGGGTGGACTTTATCTAGTTGTAGTGAGTGGGGGCCACTCTCGGTTGCAGTGCACAGGCTTCTCAGTGCAGTGGTTTCTTTTATTGTGGAGCATAGGCTCTATGTACACAGGCTTCAGTAGTTGCAGGAAGCAGGCTCAAAAGGTGTAGCTTGCAGGCTCTAGAGCATGGGCTCAGTAGTCCTGGTGCCAGGCCTAGTTGCTCTGTCACATGTAGAATCTTCCCAGAGGAGGGATTGAACCTGTGTCCCCTGATTGGCAGGCAGATTTTTATCCACTGTGCCACCAGGGAAGTCCTCATGGTATACTTTGATGCCCTCCAAATTTTAGTTTAGATTAAGTTTAATATATATTTTTTATTTTTCTGCTCATTCTTTTGGTGTCAAGATCGTGAAGATTTGTCCCTATATATTTTTCCCTTAAGAGTTGTATCATTTTAAATCTTACATTTAGGTCTCTAATCTATTTCTAGTTAATTTTTTGTATATGGTATGAGATAAGGGTCTCATTTCATTAGTTTGCAAATGGCTGTCTAGTTGGTCCAGGACTATTTGTGAAAGGACTATTTTTTCCCATTGAATGGTCTTGGCATCCTTGTCAAAAATCAGCTGAAACATAATTTTGTTTCTGGACTCTCAATTCAGTCCTATTGACCTATATGTCTATCATGTGACAGGATGACACTGCTTTGATTACCATTGCTTTGAAGCAATTCTGCAACCAGGAAACATGAGTCCTCCTATTTTATTCATTTCCAAGGTTGTTTTGGCTATTTAGGGTCCCTTGCAATGCATATGAATTTTAGAATAAGCTTGTCAATTTCTACAAAGAAATCAGCTGGGATTATGAAAGGGATTGCATTGAATCTATAGATCAATTTGGGAAGCTTTACCATTTTAACACTATTAAAATTTTCAACTCATGAACATGGGATTTTTTTTCCCATTTAATTGCATCTTCTTTAATTTCTTAATGGCATCATTTAATTTTCTTCTTTAATTTCAATAATAGTTTGCAGTTTTCAGAGTATTGATTTTGTTCTTCCCTTATTAAATGTATTTCTAAATATCTCAGTCTTTTTGATACTTTTATAAGTAGAATTGTTTTCTTAATTTTCTTGTTCTGATTGTTCATTATAAGTGTATAGAAATATGGGTGTATTGAAATATCTTTGTATATTCATCTTACATCTTGCAACCTTGCTGAAGTTGTTTGTTTTGTTAGTTTATCAGTGGCTTCCATAAGATTTTCTATACATCAGATTATGTCATCTGGAAATATAGTTCTAATTCTTATTTTTCGATCTGGATGCCTTTTATTTCTTTTTCTTGCCTAATTGTCTTGGCTAGAACCTCCAGTTGTAATGTTGGATAGAAATGGTGACAGCACATATCTTTGTTTTTGCTCCTAATAATAGGGAAAAGATATTCATTGTTTTAGCATTAAGTGTAATGTCAGTGGGGGGCTTCCCTGGTAGCTCAGCTGGTAAAGAATCCACCTGCAATGCAGGAGACCCTGGTTCGAAACCTGGGTCAGAAAGATCCCCTGGAGAAGGGATAGGCTGCCCACTTCAGTATTCTTGGACTTCCCTGGTGGCTCAGATGGTAAAGAATCTGCCTGCAGTGTGGGAGACCTGAGTTCGATCCCTGGGTTAGGAAGATACTCCGGAGGAAGGCATGACAACCTACTCCAGTATTCTTGCCTGGAGAATCCCCATGGACAGAGGAGCCTGGCAGGCTACACTCCATGCAGTTGCAAAGAGTCAGACATGACTGAGAAGCTAAGCACAGCACAGCACATAATGTCCATGGAGGGTTCTTGTAATAACTTTCATTGTGCTTAGGGAATTCCTGGTTTGGGGATGTTAAATCATGCTTGCATTTTGGGATAAATCTCTTTTGGTCATAATGTATAATTGTTTTTATATGTTTCTAGATTTGTTTTCCTAGTATCTTGTTGGGGGACTTTTTCATCCATATTCATAAGCAATACTGGTTTGTAGTTTTTTCTTGTCATATCTTTGTCTGGATTTTGTATCAGGATAATACTGGTCTCACAAAATAAGAGGAGAAGTGTTTCCTTTTTTGTTTTGTTTGTTTGTTTATTTTGAAGAATTTGTGAAGGATTCTTCCTTAAATATTTGATAGAATTCAGCAGTGAAGCCATGTGGCCTAGAATTTTATTCGTGGGTAGTTTTAAAAAATGTATTACTAATTCAATCTCTTCACTTGTTATAGGTCTATTCAGATGGCTTATTTATTCTTGAGATAGTTTTGGTACTTTGTGTTTTTCTAGGAATTTGTCCATTTCTTCTGTTATCTAATATAAGAGCATGTAATATTTCATATCATTCATTTATAATCTTTTTTCATATCTATAAGGTCAGTAATACCAACCCCTCTTTCATTTCCAATTCTAGTAACTTGACACACATTTCTCTCTTTCCCTCTCACCCTCTGTCTCATCAGTCTAGCTGAAGATTTGTCAACATTGTTGATCTTTTCAAAGAATCTGCTTTGGTTTCATTAGTTTTCTCTATTCTCTATTTTCCATTACATTAATTTCTGCTCTAATTATTATTATTTCCTTCCTTCTGCTTGCTTTATGCTTAGTTTGTTCTTCTTTCCCAGTATCTTAAGGTGGAAAGTTAGGATGTTGATTTGAGATCTTTCTTCTTTTTTAAATACAGGCATTTAA